GTGTGTGTTAGGAGGGATACACTGGCAAGGAAAACACACCCGGATTCCAGCAGTGCCGGTTAACCCATTCATAGCTGAGCCTCTGCAGAGCACCAGCGCAGCAGAGACAGAGACACCTGGCCAAGCCTCAAGAGAGCCCAAGTCAAATCTCAGCAGTGCTTCCTCAGTGGTATTAGGAACTCAAGAAGCAATTCAGGTGCTTGAATATGGGTACCAAGTGCCATTTTAGATGCCTTGGGTTATTCAAGACACCTGCACAGATCACATGGGTCTAAGAAGAAATCCACACCTTTGTGCATGCACTAACCAGCAGCCACCTTAGGCAGAGCAGAGCCCCCAGCCTGCGCCAGGCAAGCAGATGGCATCATTCCCAGACAAGGCTCCAGCATCGCCAGCACGCTCAGGTAGCCAGGATCATGCCAGGAGGAGCTTGCACTTCCATGACAAAGGTGGTCTGTGCTTGAAGAGTGAAATGAAAACAGCAATTCTTTGCAGCGTTACCCAAGAGCCCCTGATCACGGCAGATTTGTACTCACAAGAGGAGTCAGAATACGGTCATGGGAGCCTGAGAGCCCACCTCAAACTCCAGGGGACTCTGGGTATCTCCTTCCTTTGGGCCCAAGCTCCCACCCCAAAAAAAGCACAGTAGGACCCACCCTGTCCCATCTGTCCAGAAGCAGAGATCTGTTCAGTGACCTTCAGAGCAAAACATACTCCCTTCCAGAAGGAAACGCAGCGCTGAGACCTCGGAGCACCTCCTTCAGGAGGCTGTTTGCCCAGCAACACGCTCCAGAAGCGAGTCAGCAAGGAGAAGGGGCAGCGTCCCAACAGAAGCAGCAGCCAGTCTGGATGACAGCTTTGCTGGGAAATGGCCCAACTCGTGGGAGAGCAGCGAGGTAGGAAGTGAGTGGAGCCAGCCAAACTCAGGAGAGCACAGGAAGGAGCCGGCTCTGCCAGCCTTGCAACTGGGTGTGCGAGTCAGGAGGGCAGTGAGGGTAACGGGGTGGTGGGCATGAGTGGGGACATGGGCAGAGCTGTGGAAAGACCTCAGTTAGAGTCAGCACAGGTCAGAGCAGAGGCCCAGGGTCCCCAGGGCTCGCTGGGGGAGATGCACACCAGCATTAACCGCTTCACTGCCAAGCGACAGGCTCTCCACACACCTCATCTCTGAGATCGGCTTGGACATGCCCACGGAGCAGCACTGATCCCATTTCAGCCACAGCAAACGCAGAGACTCATTCAGCCTAACCCCAGCAGGAGGGCCAAGAACAGATCCATATTGTCCCCTCCATCTGTCCTGAGGCCAGGAGACCGCCCTGTACCAGAGTGCTGCTGCTCCCTCAGGCAGCAGCTCTCCCCACCAGGGACTGCCCATCTGCTCCACCCTACCACCCCCCAAAACTCTGCCTGGACATCCCTGCTTCCCTCACTGCAGCAGCATATTAGCTTTGTCCTACGAGCGAGGCCAAGCAGAGCTCGCCCCCTCGTGGGACAGAGCCTGCAGCTCTATAACCCCGAGTTACAGCCTTTCTCCAGACACACAGGCTCTCCAGCACAGCCTCAGCCAGAGTGCTTTTTCACCGCACCCTGGCAGCACCAGGCCAACAAAAGCCTCCTCATAACATCCAGCCTGGTCCCCAGCTCTGCCATCACATGCGCAACCCCACAGCAAGGTCTCCCCAAAAATCCAAGGGCAAAGGATGCCCACAGCGCAGCGAGGCTTCGCGCCAGTAGCTTTAGAACAGCCCATCAAGAGCACATCCTCTTTTCATGACTTCACTCAGCTAGTCCTTCAGCCCTCACAAATTCCTCTGTGGTTAAAGAGAAGAGTAAAATTCAAAGAACTGGGCAATCCCCCACTTCCTTTAACATACCCTCCCCTCCAAACCTATAGCTTTACATTGCAAAAGCAGTTCAGAGGCAAAACAAGTTAGGCTTTTTTTGCAGGGGAAAAGGGACAGTGAAGGCACCTGACATGTTCCTGTAGTTAGAGGAAGTTCTTTCCCTAATGGTCACTCCCAAAGCACCTGTATTTAAAAGTGCTGAAGCATGGCCAAACTTCATTAAATTGTTCAAGTGAAATCTGTTGATCCTCCCCTCTTTGCTTCCCCACTGTTTTTCCACTTTGATGCACCCAGCTGGGTCAAACTTGGACTAGTCCCATCTGAGCAGGGATCAGCCGTCCCTCCCCTAAGGAATCCCATGCCCTGAGGGGTCCAAAGATTCCCTACATATCACCTTTCCTCAGACAACCTCCTTCCAGCCACGGGTATACTTAGCAACAACAGTCATCTTAGCAAGGACCCTCCAAGTCTCCTCTAAGGAGCCAGAGAATTCAAGACAGCTGGGGATAGACATGGCAAAGACTGGGGCTTGCTAACACAGCAGAGCCTTTCCCCAGGCAGTGACCATACATGGGCTGCCAAGGGCTCCCCGCAGCTCTCAGCATGGGAAGCCCCAGCAGGAAGGGGACTGCATTTGCAGAGAGCCATTCTCATCTCAGACCACCGTAGCAAGAGAGAATCCCACCTCCCAAGCCACAGGTCCCACTCAGCTGGGAACCTCCTGCAGAGCATAGCACAAACTTGGCCCAGCACAGGCACATGCACATCCACACAGTGCAGCAACTGAGGTCAGGGGCTACCTGAAGTCCCCACTGCTTGATGGGCAGCACAGTGAGTGACAGGGGTACATTAAGTTACCTAGCCCTGGCATGAAGTTAGAGATATGGGTCATTGTTCAAGCAAGCCCAGCTCCTTTTCTTCCCCCTACATATCTCCTCAGTGCACAGCTACATTGCCACCAGAGAGCCTTGTGATTCACCTTCCAGGGAGCTCCTTCACAGGCCTCATCACTTAAAAACCAACAGCCTCTGAACTGTCTAGGAAGCGCTGCCTTGACACCATCTGTACACAGAGCAGCTTGAAAGCAGCTTCACCTTCAAAGAGAGAGAAGGTCAAAGAGCTGAGCTCCTCACCACAGCCACTGGGTGAGACAAGGTAGTGCAAAACAGCAGGCAAACACTTGCTTCCTCCATTTTAGGAGCAGAAGTCACAAGTCTAGCAGATGTTTAAGCAACACAAGTAAAAGTGGGAGATATGTAGTTGTACATGAAACTGTTACATGGGTTGGGAGAGAAAGCAGTTCTCCCTATCTTAAAAGGAAAAGGATGTACTTTTTTCCCCATCAAGTTTTGGATTTCATTAAAAACTTCAGATTCAGCTAGGGAAAAAGGGATGTACAACCCTTCCACCAGCATTCATACACACATGCACTTTCTAATCAGGTTTCAAAAGGCTGTAAGAGTTAAACTGCTACAGATCCCTCCAGACAGTCTCTTCTGTTTGCCTGAAACTCCAACCAGAAATAAAAAAAGGAAAAGCCTGACCCAGCCTCACCAGCAACCACTGCCAAGCAGCCCCAATGGAGCACACATGTCTGCACACACCACAGCACCAGGGGAACAGGAAAGCTCCACCACCCTGAGCTGCCCCCACCATCAGCTGCCACAGAAGAGGCCAATTTAGGGTTGCTCTTACACCCCAAAGCACCTGCAAGGCAAACCCAGCCCTGCCAGACCTCACTCAGGCTGCAGCAATGCCTGGAAATCCTGCATGACACAATGAGAAATCAGTGTATTCCCCTAGCAGCAACGGCTCCCCCCCCCCC